TTTACTAAAATTTAATGTGAAGTCTTTACTTGGAATTTGTATATAAATATAAAATTATGATAGTTTAAAGCAGATGAAAAACCATTATTAACTGCAATCACCACATTGTACAGTAAGTCTCTTGAACTTATTCTTCCTGTCTAACCCAAATTTTGTACTTGTTGGTGAAAATACCCAGTCCTCCATCCCTGTTCCCCTTAATCACTATTTCACTCTACGCTTTTGTGAGTTTGCCTTTTGAAGACTCTATAGGTAAATGAGGTTGTGCAATATTCGTCCTTTAGTTTCTGACTTTACATTAACTTAGCATAGTGTCTTCTATAATCATACTTGTCATAGATGACAAGATTTTCTTTGAATCTAGGTCCTTGCACATGCTAGGCAAGTGTTCTATCACTGAGCTACATCTACATCCCCAGATACTTCTTAGATGATTTAATTTTCTTTGGATATATACCCAGTAGTGGGATTGCTGGATCATGTGGTAGTTCTGTTAACTTTTAAAAGGTGCCTTCATACTATTTTCCATAATGGGTATACTAATTTACATTCCCACCAATGGTGTCTAAGGATTCCCTTTACCAACACTTTTTATCTTTTAGCTCACTTGCACTCTTGAGCTCTCTCTTCTCTGTTCTCTCTCTCTCTTCCCTCCCTCCCTTCATCCCTTCTCCCCTCTCTCTTCCTCTCCTTCCCTCCCTTTCTCCTTCCCTCCCTTTTCTTTTCTTCTTTCCTTCCTTCCATGGCTTTGCTGGGGAGTGAACCCAGGTCTTGGGGTGCCCAGCAAGTGTTCTACCATTGAGCTGTACCCTCATCCCTCTTTTGACATTCTAATAGTTTGAAAATCTTACTGTGCTAGTATACTTTACATTTTCCTAGTGATTAGTCATGTTGAGCATTTTTTTCATACACCTATTGGCTGTTTATCCTCTTTTGAGAAATATCCATTCAGATACTTTGCCCATTTTAAAATTGTGTTTTCTTGCTGTTTGTCATCCTTATATTTTAGATATTAATCCTTCATAAGTTGATAGGTTTTGACCATTTTTTCCCATTCAGAAGGTTCTCTCTTCACTCTTTTTGCTTGGTTGTGTAGAAGCTTTTTAGTTTTACATAATCTATCTGTCTGCTTTTGCTTTTCTTGCCTGTGCTTTTGGTGTTATATTTAAAAAAGAAAAATGACTGTCCAGTCCATTCCCATGCTTCAAAGTGCAATGGGCCCTTTTTCCCTGTGCTTTGTTTTCTTTCTTTCTTTT